AGAACACAGGCGCGAAAAACTCTCGAGGCACTCTGGATTAATTCCAGAAATCCGAAAATGAACCGCAGGGAAGAATGCCTCATTATCACGCGTGATATAGGGCAGTATATAAAACTGCTTTTCTGATGTGAGGGGCACATTATACTTCCACGTGATTTCTGTGCGGTTGGTCTCTACGTGACATACTTAGTGGAAACCTCATAGGAAGCGGTGAGTGTGCAAAGCTGTGTTCAAAGTGATTGAAATCTTGGTTTGGAGTTTTTTTGTTTGGTTATGGAGGCGTCTGGCCGAGTGGATTGCTATCAACTTGACCTTTCCAGGCTCTGAAGAAGGCGAAATCCGCCGAAACGTCAGCTTAATCGTGAACAAAGAATAGTAACACCTCGCGTTTGCTCAACAAAAATACGAAGAAAAACACTAATCTTTATTCTACCTTATTCACCTTCAGTCTTCATTCTACAATCTGTGCGCAAAGCAACTTCGCAGTTTTTAACTAGCTGGAAAAAAATCTCCAATGGCTATCGAAAAGATATCCGCTCGAATAGGGCGCGTGTAGCGCAGTTGTCGGAAGCGCCCTGCAAAACACACGGGATCGAACCACACGCGCAAAACTCACCAAACATTCCATCTCTCCAGGGTCGACAAATTGGTACCATACTTGTCTCAAAGGTTAGCAGCAGTGGCTTGATACAACGATGGGACACCGCGAGTCATTTTGAAGGCCAGATATGCATTCAGTCATCTGTAACGATGTTTAACCAAGTCGAATGCATGGCCCATCTCTCGGGGATTGATCAACGCAGAGGCTTGAACCAACTTTTGTACTTAGTTTTAGTTCGTTAGCGAAGAATATAGACCAAAATGTACCCATCTGATGTTTTTTAAACTAACGTTTTTCACTATCTGGGTTGTTGAACGTTCCAAATGTCCGCAACCATAATAGATCGAGGTTCACTTCTTTCTGCAATGCCTGCTAGTTTCAGGAGCGTGACGAGATAAATAAATATGCGTACTTTGAAGTATTGTTTCTCGGGAGAGAAGGAGAATCTTATGTCCATGAGCATCGGCTCCGTCTTCTATACAGACTGGCGTTGTATGCATTGCAACATCCTGTTTTTCAACTTTATTCTCAGATATCCCTTTGGCTGTCGAAGGTTAGAATGTGTTTCTACTTCATCGTTGTTTATTAAATTGTTCTACTCGGAGAGTTAAACATGTTATTGTAAGAACTTGAGCGCAGTATATAGGTCGGGAACGGCAAATCGTATGCTGAAGACTTAGTCGCTGCTCTCGCCGAGCATTACCTCAGATCAAGTGACTCCAATATTGTAAGTTTCTATTTCAATGGATTGTTATGGGTTCGTTAAACAACTTGTTACTGAATGGCTTTAAGGGCAGCTAATGCTTTAGACAGCAATATTTCTAATAGCTTCAGCATTTTTTATCATGTACGAATTTAAATGAGGACGCATACAATTAAAGGGCGATCATAGTCATCCTCGTTCTACTGTCCCATCAAAGAAGTCAGAAAAATGTGTAAGTAAAGTGATATGATTGATCTCCATATGAATTGATTTCCACCTGTATCACCTGTCCTGTGGGGGCCTCCGATTTCCCCTACACTTATCCCGAGATACAGTTTCATAGTCATTAGAAATGGCTATTTGCCGCACCAAGTTCCTGGACTCCTCTCTCTGCTGTCTTTCCGTGCACACGTTGGTTGCTGTTCGAAACATGTTCCTTACAAGCGCTCTTTTTGTATGAGAGGGGTGAGAAGAGAGGTAATGTACCAAGATGTTTTTACTACTTGGTTTTCGGAACCACTTCGTAATGTAGCCATTTTCTCACAGGTTAATTTGGTCGTTCAAGAATGGAAGCCATTTTTCTTTCGGTTTCTCTCGGGTGAACTTGATGTACTCTGACTGTTTATTCAACAACTCGAAACATTTGTCCATTTCCTCTTGTGTTGAGCAAAGGACAAAACAGTCATCTATATATCTACAGTAGAGTAACGGCCCACCCAATATCAATCACCGGTGCTTCCACCTTAGACATAAACGCAATGGCAAGACTTGGTGCCAGTCGTTGTCCCATTGCCAACCCTCTTATTTGAGCATGGTACTTTTCGGACCATCTGAAGATTGAGCAGCTTAAGCATTTTTCTAAGAGTGCAATTAATTGCTCTATCTTGAAGCCGTACATGTTTATTTCCCTTTCGTGTTGTATAAGGAGTCCGAATATGGCTTGCATTGCGGAGTCGTTCGACACGTTTGTATAAAGGGCGGTAACGTCGAAGGTTTCCATCACATACGCGCTGCTGGTCTGCGCAGTACGTAGACGTTCCAGAAACATCTGGGTATTCGTAAGATGGACTGGAATGTGTTTCAACAACTGGTTAAATATTAAGGTTAAAAACCATGTTATCCTATCCGTTGGCCCGTCTACGCAGCTAATGATAGGTCTAATCTTAAACAATGATGGATCCATTGACGCAAGATCATCGCTGGATGCTAACTCATGAGTTCTTATAAGCAAGTATAAGATGGGACACGTTGGTAAGTCAACTTTTAGTTGAGAGATAACTGATGGTTTTAAACCATCAGCCGTTGCCATTTTGACCCATTCGTGGTTCAATTTTCGGTATTTACTTTTGAACTCCTCAGATAATGGGCGATAAGGTGAAGCATCTTCAAGATGCTTTTTCGTTATCTCCACATCTAACTGGTGGGGAATTACGACAAACTCTCCACCGTTATCACTAACGGATAATCTTATGTTTTTCAACTTTATCAGCTCTCGTACCTCTCGCATACCACATCTTTTCACTTCAGTGAGGTTTGAGCTGTATCTTTTCGCGCCATAGTGATTAAGGATTTTGAGAGTTTCATTCGCAAACATCCGAAAATTAACATCAACTTCATTATTGGGCTCTTGTTGTCTAAAGAACAGTTGAGGAAATTGTGCTATTTGTAGGGCCCCCACTTGGTGTTGTTCGCACCTATTTAGCGCTTCATCTCTAGCTTTTTGCGGAGTCTATCTTGAAGTTAATGAAAACTATATGCAACCCTACGCAAGGTTATCTTAGAAAAGGTTTCAGATGGTGAGAAACTCGGTTCCAATTCTAATAACGAGCGCGCACCGTCAGGGACAGTCATGCCTCCTAGCACGCTTAGCCTTGAATTTCTTTGCACATTATTTATCCTATTGTGACCTGTTGGTGTTCGTTACCGGTATTTCTGTGCGCTCTTGAAACCGTGTTATGCGATTTACTCAAAAGGTCTTCGAATTTTCTCCTCAAAGTTACTTTAGCAATAGACCTAACAGAGTTGCAAATCAACACTGACCTACCCACTATTCTCCTCCTGAGACGGTCCTCCAATATTGAGCACAAAAGTTTTCCTTCGTTTCGCACGCACGAATTTGGGTTTCCTGAAAAGAATTTTGCGCTAAGGAAATGATGATCTGATCACGTTTAACGCATGAGCACAACTAAGACATTGTTTAGGCAAAATATTCGATTGTCGATGATGTGGCGAACTTCATTAGTTTCAGCTAGGAGGTTACTATGTCCGACACCGAGAAGTGAGCTACTGAAATCATGAGTTGTCATGAAGTATCGCCATCGTTATTCTGAAATCACGTAGCGTTACGCCTTTTTAGCTAAATTAGAGCCTTTGGTCTTAATGTTAAGTTTCTCAAACGTTTTTCTATACCCACCGTTGGCGTTCTAGTTTCCAATGGTGATCTTCTAGAAGGTATGATCTCCCTCATCATAACGTGAGACCTGGACGGAGGCAATGGAAACTGTAAAGTTTGACATTTGCTCACTTCATTCTAACACTAAGGATAAGAAGACATCTCAGATTCGAGTCGTTTGTTGTTAAAAGACTTTGTGTTAACGGTGAAGTAGGTGTTGACATGGAGAAATCCATCACCCGCTTCTCTATGACGAGTGGGTTATATTTATGAAAAGGACTTTGGTTTCGTCATAGGTTTACATTCAGAATGGAAAAATGGATAAAGATTTCGCACTAATAGGAAATAATTTTGTGAAATGTACTACTGCATTGCAGTACGAGTACCTACTGCCATTGGAGACGGCCTGTCCGGAATTCACGGTATTTTTCGTTGTTTATGCTACACGTTTTATGCCTATAAATCGACCTATGGCTGCTGTTTTCGCTAGCTATATAAATGCAAACCCAGGATACTTCCTTAAAGGTTTTCGAGATTCTCCACATCTGGCTGACATATTCCGTTCTGAGGTACAACAGTGTGTTTTACCTATATTTTCGACATTGATTTATTGTTGTCATCATTTCTAAATCAAGCTGTTTCGTTCTCAGGTTTTTCCAAAAATGCTCACATATCTTCTGGAGCTGGAAGACGAGCCATCATCGGATCAAGAAGCTTTGAATTATCACACTGCTGTTCTAGTATTACTGGATAAGTGGAACAGTAATATTAAAAGGCCATTAGATATAAGTACGTTCATTTCGAAAATCTTCGTTATGATTTTTTTCAAATGTACCATGATCACCAATGCAACTACAGATAATAGTGCGCGTTAATGCGTTGAAGTGCCTTATCGTCAGCTTTAATCGATCATCCTAGAGGTGGTTGAATGCAAAGCTGCCTATACAGTGACTCGTAGGGGCCTTCCAATGAATTACGTTTTGTGGTTTCGGTGTTTTTCGCGTTTTTATTCTCCTAAAGAAGTCTAGGACGAATTTAGCAACTCCAGAGAAATGCAACGTTTGATGAGTCTGTGGTACTGAGTCGAATCATTGACGGATCAGGTGTCTATTAAAGGGCTCTTCTAACTGCGCGATAACGGCTAACAACAATCGTGCATGTGTAGTAAATTTCACGTACGTGGTAATATATTTTCAAGTGTGTTTGAAGGTTGGTAAATTATATCGTCCATGTCGACTTAGCCAGAAAGCTTTAGTCGAGTTTCTGAGGAGTACGCGGGAAACACTTTCAATACCATCTACTAAGTATACCTGATATCTACTTTGAAGGGTGCAGGCAAGCTGTGTGTCAGTAAACCTGGCTTCAACGGCTCAAGGCTTAGCGCATTTACTCGACAAAAACAATAGTAACAAAAGGCTTCGTATCGCTGTTGCCCAAAGAAACCCGCAACATCAGCGTTTGGAAACAAATCTACTAAAAGGCTGTTCAAATTAGACACGAGTAAACATGTATGTAAATTGCATTGTTCCGACCAGAGATCTAAACAAATTCTCTTATGTCAAAGTAGAATCAAAATTCAGTGGTGCTGATGTTTTCGTGAACGTGCTTGGCGATTAGCGTCAATTCTTTTAAACAACAAACGACCGTAATCGGACGTTTATAGTTTAAAAATATGTGCACTAACACCAGCTTTGATGCGTCTATGGCGAACATCAAAGTATAAGAAGGACGAGATCGAAGTATTCTGTATGGGCTTGGAAAAGTCATAAGGAAAATTATACTTCTTTCTTGTAGGTGGTCTTCAGTGACTAAAACGCCATAATCTTAACCTTTTGTTTACTGCCTATACTTTTTAATGGCAATATGTTGCGAAATATAACCTCTATAATGCTGAGATATTTGGAAAACTCCGGACTTCAGGTGTCTGCGGTGGGGAACGAACGCGATATTGTCTTAGCAGAGATATAGGCGAAACGAAGGACCCGCATAGTGTGGTGGTGAACGCGTTACTCTCCGGAAAGGATAATAGTGCCTTCGTTCCCCACCACAGACACCTGCTGTCCGGAGTTTTGCAAATATCTCAGCATTATAGGAGTTATAAAACGCCATAATTGATCTCAATAAAACGAAGAGTTTTACGGTGCTGGGATGAAGCGAACAGATTCTGTGTTTATCGCGATTAACAGCGTAGTAAGCCGTAATTCTAGAAGTCTCTGAGAGTTGGACGTGGGTGTTACCTAGTGATGACTGTTATAAGTAAATAGGTTAAATCACAGGAAGTCGGAACGTTTGCCTACACTATATGTTGTGCTGAACTTTTAATCGGCATCGAGGCATGGAGCAGGAGTGTTTCCGTAATGTTAACGCAAGCACAGTGCAGCGTTGGCTTGAAAAACTTCGTCGTGCATCGGGACGAACTCGACGTTGAAGGTGAGGAAGGTTGCGGATGACCTTCTGCTACTGAAATTGATAAATTGGAGGCTTTCCGGGAAGCAAATACACGCCCAACTTTTCGCTTGCAGAAGAATTCACGATGTTGAGACATTTGCAGATCTCCGGACCTCAGGTGTCTGAGCTGGGGAACGAACGCACTTTTACCCTTTGCGGGTACTAACGCGTTCACCACCACACCAGACGAGTCCTTTTTGCCTGTTTTTCATCCGTGTTATTGACTTATAAACGCTATCACCAACCACCGATTAACGGGATTGATTTGGGGGGCACAAATCGGCATGAACCCGGCTATGCTAAAGCTATGGTATAAATCATAATGTCAGTTTTTATTTACTGCCTACTAATTTTTGCCTAATTAATGCATAATCGCCTAATTTCATAGGTCAGTAACACGGTCCAGAGACAAGCGAAACGAGGGACTCGCATGGCGCGGTGGTAAACGGTAAACGTTAGCACTCCAAAAGGGTAATGGCGAGTTTGGTCCCCATCGTAGAGACCAGCGATCCGGAGTTTTGCAAATATTTCAGCAACATTATGGTTACATTTCACATAGTACCTTGCCACTGAAATTTAGTAGGCAGTAAGTAAAAATTGGCATTTAGGGAGTGCTGTAAAGAGAAAGAAGCTCTGCAGACGCGCTGCATGAAGTGAACGACAATCAAAGACGTCGCTGTTTGTCGAGCGTGTTTTGATGTGCAACAAGCAAAGGATCTTTCGCGACAGCCGGTGGCGATGGACTGTGGTTGGACCACGATGAAGCTCTTCAACGCTTTGGAAAACCGAAATTGCACTGACAGTGGTGATGAACATATGATGACGTACAGATTGTTGGCCTAGAAAATCGGCGAAACGCACCAGAAACGTCAACAACTGTGCCCGAAGTGGTCAGCTGAAAGTAATCAATCACCCACTTTGACGCGCGACCATACGTCGCAATATCGACGTTGCAGAAGTTGAACGAGATGGGTTACGAAGCTCTACTCCATTCGACATTCTCACAAACCTCTCACCGACCGAATAACACTTCTTCAACCATCTCGGTAATACCATGTGAAAGAAATGCCTTCGGAGCTTTACTGGGGCCGCAACTGCTTCAACGTCTTCATACCTTGCAGAAGACTAAACTTTTAATTCATAACACCTCGCCACCGTATTTCGTGGGTGGCCCAACTAATTACGAGCAATTTTCCGCCGGCTGCGGACTCTGATTTCTTCACAATAAAAATTCATGTATCAATAACAAGAGTACTTTGGGGGTTTTGAACAAGGCATAAATGTAGAAGAGACTGTGCTACAATGTCCTATAGGTATGATTAGAATGTCAGCCACTAGTAACTGTGTTACCATGGGCCATTATGCAAATGCATTGCTGTTAGGATTTCGAAATATTTTGCATCCTGTATTGATTCCATTTCGGTGTTCTCATTTCAACACATTCCACACGATTACAATCGTGATTGAAATAGAACACTTAATTGTTAGTCGAATTATCGGTCAACAAACTTTTTCGAAAGAACACTTTTTGTAGATCATTAAATGAAGAGATTGACTTTTCTCATCTAACCCTGCTACGACCTGCTTTCGATTAGCTGTCGAATGAATATACATGTTATGGTTAAAAAAAGCTCTGGAACCCACTAAGCTCAATGTGAGCACTATAGTACCCATATAATGGTTTAGTCCAATTCGCAATGTACAAAAATACAGTTTTAAGTCGACAATCATTTCGACAGGATTTATTATACTAAGACCATGCTCAGCTTCAATGCTGACGTCCTTATACGATGGGAGCAGAAAAGCCACTAAACTGTGTCATATCGGGGACAGTAGGTAGAGTTAATGAAACGATATTCTCTTCCGAATTTCAGCCATAGTTCTGGTTAAGGTTCATGCTGCATTCATTTCAGAAAGAATCACGCCTTAAAATTGTCAATAAATTAGTGAACCGTGTCCGAAAGCAGAGTATGGTTTTGCTCATAAGCTGGTCTTTGCTATCATTTCTTCGTCCACGTTATGTGCTTCACTCGCAGAATTATCTCATCTGTTGCTATTATTTTCGACTCCGTGAAAAGTTATAGCGGACGATAGGTGACCAGTGCTTGTATTTGTATGCGCGCCCTTTACATTCTTCATTACTAGTGTTAGGCTCAGAATATTTTCCACTCGTCTTTTCTTCGCCATTGTCGTTTATATTTGTCGTCTGATGGCGCTTTGTACGGTTGTCCTCCTGTCTTAAAACAAAATGTTGAACATTTGAAGCTGTGTATACAGTTGATCGAATTGGCTACTAACTCGATTGCCTATCTTGTAAATGCTGATCATAGAGGCAGCTAAGATCGTCTTTCAGTTCATTTTGCTATTCTTCTTCTCCATCTGTTGTCGAGTCTTGTAATTACATATATGACCAATAGTTTTGAAGTGTACTATCTTAAAATTCGAGAACGCAATAATTTTCGAAGGCACTTCATGTACAGTTAGGCTACATGTTGTGTGTGTCGGTTATTTTTTACATGACATTGTTATGGCTTACAGCTTCTATGCGCCAAACACTCGAACATAAGGTGGGCCGGGCACGTAATGCGTATGAATGACAACCAATGGACAAGAGCCGTTAGTGAATGGATTGCTCGGGATGTCAAACGCACTACAGGAAGATCACCGACCCGATGATCAGAGTTCTTCACGAAGAGCTTAGAAGAAAGATATGATGCTCAATGAGTCCCTAGAGCGAGCAGAACCCACTGGGCTACTCTTGCAAGCGACAGGGAAAAATAGAAGATTTCTGGCGGCCGCTGGAGTCAGTGGGTTCCAGAGTTTTTCCACCAGACTATGTATGCTCATTCGATAGCTAATCGAAAACAGATCAGTATAGTGAGACTAGAAAAGTCATCCTCTAAACTTGATCATTTACAAAAAGGTTAGTAATTTAAGTAGCAATTAACTGTTGCTTCGTTTTAATCTCCATGACGAATAATGGTTATTTTATAGGATGTATGGGTGTAAAAAATTACCATAATGGACTGACATAAGCTGGGAGATACTTGCAGGTGCAGGCAGTATTTGTAATATGGACCGTAGTAATACGTAGTAAATTGTGGCATACATATTATTCTTGCATAGAAAGATAGAGTCTCTTCTACATTCTTATCATGTTCAAAATTCCTCAAATCCTGTGTTATTCGGTAAAGAATTTTTTTTTGTCAAAACAAAAAGCGAGAAAATTGGCAGTCAACGAGGAATGGTGCGTAGTCCATTGGGTCAGCTACGGAATACGGCAACCTGGGCGGGATAGATTGAGGAGGGCGCGTAGTTTTGAGTACATTGGATCATAAGTGGTATCACTAAGAGCCCTTACAGGACATACTGCTTTCCTACTTCTTCATAACTCATCCTTCATGTAGTGTTCTGTCCTTACTGAATGCACTATCTCTCCCTGTGTTGTCTTCTATGGCCAAGTACCACCCATTTCGACTTGCTTATCTTTTCGTTGTGTAATTTCCATGGAAATAGAAAAAGGATCTTGACGAGATAAGAGCGCAAGTTATGATCGAAGTTGTAGAGGCTGGAAAAAGCATTCGCAATGCCCACCGAAGCTTCGCCAATTACAAATTCAAGATAGTTGCACTCCGACGCTCATTCGGAACATTCCAGCGTCCAGGAAGGCAATGGAGAAAACCACTCACCACTAGCATTCAGATCTCTTCAGTAGCCACGTCCTCCTGCCCTCATATGAAGTAAAGGGGGATGGACAAGTCGTACCACTGGTTCTTCTTTCCAAACTCCGAAATGCAATTTCGGCGGTGAAAAATCCAACAGCACGAGGTCCGAACAGGATTAGATCAGAACACCCGGAGAACTTTCCACCAGTCCTCGTAAACACACTGGCTCGTCTCCTCATACGCCACCTGTCTAAATGCAAGGTCCCTACTCAGTGAAAAGCCAGCAAGACCGTGCTGTTGTTCAAGAACAGTGACCTCCATAATATCGGTAACTATTGCTCAATGTTCTTACTATCTATCGTCTACAAACTTTTCACTCGAGTCATCCCAAACAGGATTGACAGACCACTGGATGAACGAGAGTCATGTGAGCAGGCAGGGTTTCGAAAAGAATTCGGTACGATGGACTACATCCACGCTATAATAAGACTCATGGAAGTGTCGCTAGAGTACAGAAGACCGCTCTGCCTCACTTTCTTAAAAAAACGGTTGCGCAGGGTGGTGTTATCTCCTCAAAATTATTCACCTCCAACCTCGAGAACGTTATGCGGACATGCGGACATTAGAATGTGATAGCATGGGAGTGAAAATCGACGGTCGACATTAACATCGTCTTCGCTTTGCTGATGACATCGTTCTTATAACACCAAACATAAACCAAGCGGAACAAGTGCTTGCCGACTTTGAGAAAGCTGGTGGAAAGGTCGGTCTTCGACTAAATCTCGCAAAAACGATGTCCGTTAGGAACGGATTAGTTACTTTGCCGCATTCACGCTTAGTAGAATAAAAATTTCTGAATGCTCCAGCTATGTCTATCAAGGTCGGGTTGGGAAATTAACATGGTTGTCAAGGTCGGGAATTTAACATATCAATCTAGGTCGAGAAATCAATATGTTGAACAACTTCGCTCCAGAGTTGAGCAGAAGGAAACGAGCGACCTGGGGAGCTTTCAGGAGAATCGAGAATGTATTGAGGAGAACAAAGAACACTCGACTCTATGTCTACCTTTTAGACTGAACCATTCTTCCTGCCTTAACGTTTGCGTCAGCAATCTCGTCGCTACATAAGCAGAATAAAAGACCACTCACCGTTATTGAACGCTCGGTCGAAAGGACTGTACTAGGAGTGTCACAAGTAAGAGAAGGGATCCGAGGTTCCGACATGCGTTAACGGTGAAAAATCAGAATTGTCGTTCTATACGCTAAACTGTAGAAGATAAAGCGGGATGGACATGTAATGCATATGGGCGATAAACGGTGGATAGCAGCCGTTAGTGACTAGATTCCCAGAAATGTCAAACGGTGTTGCAGGAGGGCCACAGACCCGATGGTCAGAGTTTTTCACGAAGGCCCTGCAAGGAAACTATGATGCTCAACGCGTCCCTAGAGCAAGCATAACCCACTGGGCTACTCTTCTATTCGACAGGAAAAAGTGAAAGACTACTGAAAGACGACGTACTACTGGTGGTGTGTTCGAGTCGCTCAGAGATAAGAGAAAGATAAATGATGCAGGTGAATTATTGTAAATAAACTTTTGTTTTTTGATGCATTCACAGTCCTATTATTCTTCCTATTTCGTTGAGCTGTTTGGGCATAATATCCGCTTTGCCTGTTTTCCCTGAAAAGTTGAAAATGTCGTAAGCAAAATACAGTTTTTGTAGAGGACTGTCTTCAGTGCGTATGCCCGTTTTGTTGCAATCAAGCGTCTTCGTTATTCGTAGCCACCGGGGGTAAACAGCTTTGGCAAGATGGTGTCATCATGTTACATTCTTCAATGTGGTGAAGGGCCAATAGAAGAGCTGTACTTTCGTGCCGCAGTCGCGATAGCTCTCGTATGGTACTTGTTTAAGACGGGTGCATTCCGTGCTTTTCGATGGATTGACTGTATTCGTATTTTGTAGTCAACAAATATTAGAAATAGGGATAAGTGGTATTTTCGACAAACTACAATGACTAGTGTTTTACTGTATACATGAGTTTACATAAAATTGGTATCGAATCTATTGTGGCTAACGTTCCGAGGTGTTCATCTTCTTCAGAGCTGCAGTGACTCAGTTTGACTTTACGCAGCCGGTCATTTTCGCCATTTGGGGTTATTCATAGTCGCATCGAGTGAAATCTAGTGGAGTGGAGCATCCCACTGATCCAATGCGTCGAAATAGCTACAACAAAGATTACAACATCCTTGTATATTCTCATGATTGCAAGAACATATTAATCATCCTTGCATAGGCTGATAAATTTCACATCTTTGCTTTCTTCAGAGTCGCGATGGTTTGGGTTGATTGTCCACAGCCTTTCGTTGTTGTGGTGTGGGTCTTTGTTACCGCATCGAGTCGAGTCTTCTGGATTCGCCCTGTGTTGGCTGATAAAATGCGAACAGCCGCAGCATGCATGAACCGCCGCAATAAAAACAAGTAAAAATGCATGGCGATAGATTAACAACCGCCCTGTATGAAAAAGCGCCACCGTGTGAGTAGACATCATTCGAGCGATTTTCAACTCCAGAATATTAGACTCGGCGCCACCACAAAGACCCACGTCGCCAAGACGAACGGCCGTGGATAATACACTCAGATCATTAAGGCTCTGAAGAACGCGAAAGCGCTGAAACATTAGCCGAATAAGAGCTTTAAGCCGGCCTCGTCTTTCATCTTAGCTTAATAATTTTGGAAAAGACTATATTTACGCCGAGGGTAAATTATGGCTGGTTTTGATACTATTTTTTTAACCGTATCCACGGTTACTATGTGGTCCATGCAACAGATTCCGTATCGGGATCCAACTTTCTGAGCTGGTTTCAGTCCAAGCAAAGTTATTATTAAGACCTAAATGATATATGGGCGCCATAGTTTCGATACTTTCCAAAATTGTCATAATTTAATGATAATTCAGATCTACTTTTCGATCCATCGGTGCGATGGTCTCGTTTTCGATGTGACGCCGTTTGCATTATAAGTTCTCGAAGTTCGGCTGCATGCAAATTTGTTGCTGGTGTACGTTATTTTGCTATATTATATTTCCTTGCAATCAAATTGCAGTTTCAACAAATTGTTTTAGAAACTTGAAGGTTGCAAGATTCCACCTACATATGCGGCTTTGGTAGCAGATGTTCATTCGAGAATATTATCTTCGTCCTCTTCATAGCGGTTTTCATGTTTCTTGCCTATTTACAAGTGCTTAATGAAATAATTACATGATTCCAATAGATTTTTTGCGAGCAGTTACTTCTGCATCCTACCTTTTTCGTGCTATTAATAATGTGGTATAGTATAGCAGTTCTTTTTCACTTATGTTCTGAATATGCTTTATTTGCAATAGAGTCGATCCACAGTCATGATATCCCGATTACCACTAATCTCCGTAGGTCGAGCTGCCATACGAATTCGAGCTTTGCGGTTTTTGAGAAAATCTTCATTGTCTTCCTCTTCTGGTGATGGTACGTAGATGAAACGATTTTGTACACTTCTTCATCATAGATTTCATAAACTCTTACTTCCAAGAAGAAAGTCCATTGTTGTTTATGTTTTAGACTCTGAACATATCTATGTTCCGAAACCAGCTGTCGGTGAAAGGAATTGGTTGGGAAGTCTCAAGGTTAGGTACTATATATATGACATTTATATATACTTATGTACACATATATACGTACATATATATATGCACGTGTGTATATACGTACGTGTACATATATATGTATATATATATATATATATATACATATATACGCTATGCATTTGCGGCAACTTAAGCCGATATGGCTTGTTTCGTAATCAAAAATAAATTGACGTTCAAATTTTGATAATAAATTGCTTATGTGACGTAATGTTTAGAGGTGACTTATCGTACGCACATTGTTGGATCCGAAACTCTGGCCCAATCTTGATTTCCCTCTCAATCTATTCTGTCAGTCTAGTATGCATTCAGCTACTTCTGTGATACTTAGTGGTGTCTAATGTATGACGCATCTCTAAGGAATAGATTATCGCTGAACGCCTCGTACTTCAGTAACAAATCTTATTAATTAGAACAGAAATCATTGAAATTTACATATGCTCTCAGTAAATGGCAAACTTCATTTTTTAGTCGCAGTGAAATTTTGTCCTTGTGGAATCTATGGCTTTTTTACATTTGTGGTTAGGTCTTGCATGAATTTTTTTACACTTAGGACTTATGCACATTGTATCATCAATGCTCTAGTTAGGCGACAGCCTTTCTCATTCGAACTGTTAGACTAATGTTCGTTATTAACCATAGATGACTTTGATTAATGCAGACACTAGAGGAACAATATCCGCACGAACCGTCCAAGCTAAGGAAGTCAGATGTATACACCTTTTTTGGCGCTGGACTTGGTGTTGTTCTCACTCTTCTCACTCTGGTAAGAAATCAGTGTTTCTATCAACGCTTTGCCTTTTGAAATGTGTTATTATGTTAAAAAGTTTGGTTTTTAGAAAATATAATGTGTATGTTTCTCTGTGCATATTTCAGACGTTTTACACTGATCTTTTTGGCAAAAACATTTCAAAGAAAAGTCATAGTCCAATGAGTCATGAGAGCAGCAGTCGAAGTAAACAATCAGAGGTAACCTATTTTGCTGTAGCTTCCTTTCTTTTCTTTTTTTTACTTTTTTTTTGAGTACACAGAATCTGGACTGCATGTGGATTTCCGGGAGTTCGGGAAATGATTGATTTCTTGAATGCTTAGAATGTGTACTATTAATTATGCCATTTTCGATACCAGCACCTTTTGTACAACATTTGATTTGTATCTGAGAAATTTAAGAAAAATTTCATATATGTTTTTTTTTGCTGCCCTATTATGTTATGCACAGCTAGGGATACCGATGTTAATTTTTTTCGTTTTTTTTTCCACTGAAGCGTGTAGTAAAATTGATAAGAGATCGCCGGTTATTGTCCTTGTTATCTCAAATATGCAGGATTTTTATTCAATTTAATTCTGTATTAATGAATATTGTAGTTACTATTGTATGTTGCTCAGAGCCAGGGTATCCAACCGTTAGAACACTCAACCCAAAGCGTTGTAAATGAAGTGGCGTCTCCAAATAAACAGTCGGAACCCGTGGTGTCACCTGCCAATGTCCATGATCAAACAACATCAGCAACATCATTATCTTCATCGGAACAAGTGGGAAAAGATAGTTTGGATGCCGAGATGGTCAGCTCGCAGCAAAGATCAGAGGTATGCACTGCTGTCCTCGATCTAATAACTGCATTAGTGCGAGTGAATGATGGATTATAGATAAGGCATGGAGAGGACCATTATAAGGAGCGAGAATGGAACACTTCTCAGACCGAGGAAAAAAGTCCTGTCGTATTAAATTCGCTTGTGCAATCTTCAGCTGATAGAAATGAAACAGTTATCCCTTCAACAAGCGACGAGGTGCATTCGTAGATTTGTGTATGGTGTTATGACTAATTTGATAGGTTGCTCAGTATGTCATATTAAAATAAAGTGTATATCGTTGATGTTTATACAGTCAGTTACTCAATCACTAGGTGATTTTTGGCGGCCAATTTGTATTCTGTAGGATTGAACGAAATTGTTTGTTTAATTCTACAGCTTATGGATGCATAATGTGGATGTTTTGCATGCTTTTAAACTTTTTATTAAGATTTCCTTAAGTTATCATGTGTTACACCTTTCATTAGCCCTACATTTCCGACGAAGATCATTTTCTGCCATTCCTTTATGACTTTCTTCTACGATGTCGTGAAAAAGGGTCGACTTTCCCGGACATGTTAAGGTGCCGAAGTTCGTTGAATATCTCTTGGTTGGAGCAGGGACGGCGGCATACTACGCATCTTTGGCTATTCGAGCACGGCATGCAGACGCGAAAGTGCTAATGGTGGGCTATGAAAGCTGTTCTCAGTGTCCCATAAAACGCCGGTTTTATTCGTAAAATATCTAGTCTGATCAAATCCACCTGGAATAACTTCCCAAATATTCAAGATTGGTGAAGAGAAGCATTTGCCTTACAATCGTCCTCCGTTATCGAAAGAGCTGTGGTGGTATGGTGATGAAGAATCCGCGAATACTCTCCAATACAAAGGACTAAGTGGGAAGAAACGTGACGTGTACTTTGAATCTGAAGTTAGTGGCTTGTTAATAAATGAATATATGATCGACGAACACTCTAAAAAAGTCAGATTTACAGTATTTTAAAGTTTAACCCATCAAATCTAGATCTGATATTAAAGGGTTTTTTTGTTCCACCTTCTGAACTGTCTGCAACTAGTCACGGTGGTGTGTCGCTCTTGAGAGGTCGACGTGTGTCAAAATTGTGCCCTGATGAAAAGAAGGCGTATCTTGAAGATGGACATTGCATCACTTACAATAAATGTTTGATTGCTACAGGTTGGAGATTGTACTTATCCTAAAGCTAATTTCCAATACTCTACTTTTGAATCGTAATGTTTTTCATATGTCATGAGACAGTTTTGTTTTATGGACAGACCAAGGTGTTTGTGACCCAGTTTTCGTTGTGTGGCATATGATTTTTCAGAATTCTCAAAAACGCTTTTTAAGGAGGAAAACCTAAAGTGCTGCCTGAGTTGGAAAACGTTCCTGAGAACGTGATGGGAAAAATACTGTATTTAAGAGGAGTGAGTTTGTTCTTCACTTTTTAACACGACGCCACACATTGTGTGCATCTGATTAGTTCTTTCATTGGATTCATTCCCTCACATTCAGCATCTGCGACGGTCTTCGTATTTGCGTACGGGTTGGGCTGCTGTTTAGCGATTCTGGTCTTAATTATGGATGTTTTTGAATGCTTGTCAAACAGGTTCTCTTCAGAATCCTGAACTAGCTATACAGGTGCATTCCCAGGTCTTCACCACAGATAGGCTTCAGCCTTGGTGGCTTGGTGGGAGCTCTTCTCAGACACGATCGGTACCAACATCACGATTTTCCATATGTGAGAGACGGATTTGCCTAGGGTCAGGTCGAATGAGCAACCCAGTGTGCATAAGAACAGTGTCTCTAACACTCTGCCTTTCTCGTTTCTTTTCTAGTTTCCCACCATTTGTTTTTATTTGAGGTCGACGATTATCGCAAGCTTGAAGAAATATGTAAATCTTCGAAGTCAATATCCATTGTTGGAGGCGGTTTTCTTGGCTCGGAATTAGCCTACAGTATTCAAAGGAAGTATAAAAACGTTAAGATTACTCAGGTGTGTCATTTCGGTGTTGATTGTAAGTACAGTATGTTTCATAGTCAAGTGTTTATATCCTTCAAGGTCGTTGCTGAAAACGGGAACCTTAGCGGCGTACTTCCAGAATTTCTTTCGAAAAAAGCTTCTGAAGCACTTCGTGATGTTGGCGTTGATGTTATCACAAATGCCAAAGTGTGTATGCTGTCAACATATAGGTCTTATTTTTCCTTGTTTACCTCTCATTAACATCTTTGTTCAAGAAAAGCCTTTCTTAGTAATCCGTTACATTTTTGCACAAAACAGTTTTGATTGTCATTTCGCGATCTCACTGCTGTTGCGTGATTTTATAGTACTAAACTAATGTCCATGACCACCTTTTTTCAGATTACTGCAGCAAGAGAAAAAGACGCTAGCATTGAAGTAGAGGTATGGTTGCACAGCGCCTTGATTCCGTCATTTTTCTATTTTTTTAAATGGAATCTTAACATAGTGTTCAGGTCAATGGCTCACAATGTATTACTTCTGATTGTGTTGTTGTTGCTGTAGGAATACAACCTGATACTTTGGTTGCTGAAGCATCGGGGCTTGAGGTATGGTCCACCCATCAGAACTTTTCTGAAAATATTTTAGAAAGTTGTATAGTACTTCATACAATTACATTGGTTTTCGTACCAGATGAACAATTATCACCTTTTTACGAAATTTAGTGTGGTACTATTTCCGAATTTCATCGATCGAGACTTAACAGTTGGCATATGCAACAGGCGTATCTCTATTTTTACGATATCTTCGTATATAAATTATTGCATAGGTGCGTGGTGGAGGGAGGAGTGGGGGAAGCTAATGAAACTTATTCATAATGATCAAAGCTCTCGTTTAATCTAACCTCTTGTCCATCCAGCCGCCTATCGCTCAAAGGTCGAGAATTTGGTATTCTAGGGAGAATGGACTCAATCAGCATTCAGCAATATTCATAAAGACACCGAAAATTCTTAAGCACCAACGAAATTCAAACGCAAAAAGGGTTGGAGACCTTCGTGTTTAGTGCATGCGAGGAAACTTCGAATGCCTAAAGTGTTGGGATTCCCAAAGTTTAATATATGTGAAGTCGATTCGTGTAATAATAATAATTATGACACGATATGCTGTCGAATGGGACGTGTGTAGCGTAATGGTCGGATGCGCCTTTCAATACACATGGGATCTATCCTCACGCTCCAGACCCACCAAGCCCTCCATCCCTCCGAAGTCGGCAAACTGGCACCGGACTTGTTTGGGAGGATAGCAGCACTGACTCGATACATCGGCAAGCCACCGCGAGTCATCGTAAAGGCAACATATGCATTCTGTCACCTCCAACGATGGTTAATGAAGTCGAATGCATGGGGTATCCCTCAGGAATTGTTCACTGTCGAGGGCTTTATCCTTTTATTCTTTATGCCGTCAGTGTGGGAAAGAAAACAACACGTCCTCTACACGGAATGAGCACTTCTGTATTTTTGTGACTCTTGACAATTTCAGCGAATACCAATTTCCATGCTACGTTGAAAGTTGCAGGTCGTATAGATTTTCACACTTCCTGTAGAAAACCAAGTATGGGAGAATCGCATACGCCTTTACTACATATCTAGTCATGATCCGTTTGATCCCTTCACGAAATTTCGGTGTTTAAGCTTTGACTTATACACATCCAACTATATGGACACAAGTGAGATCCTGTGACTGTCATTTTCAATCTTCATTTCAAAAAAATATCATTCTCATCAATTACTGCGCATTCACCTGTACAGTTAGTCGGAAAAAGAGCGATTTTATGAACAGTTGGAGGAAGTGACCTTCAACGAAAACTCGTTTCTATAAATTTGTTACCGGAGGAATGGAGGATCAATGAAGGAAAATGAAGGGTTGGGAGATTTGGAATGAGAGACCTAAATGATGTTAGGAATCGAATTTCTTTCTAGAAAATTTCTCATTGAGTAAAACGCATTTAATAAGAAAAGAGAAACTCGCTAGTACTCGAACAGGGATCGCGCCTTAAATGACCAATGAAGCAGGGAGAAATACTGCGCGTAACGCAGAATACCTAGCGCACGAAAAAACGAAGCCGTGATGGGAAGTATTTAGAAGATGGATGGTTATTTGTGTAATTTGGCTGAAGAGATAACGTTCTACATGTACTGAAGCTCTACTGAATTTTGTCGAAGAACGATTCACGATTTACGGAATAGCCTTAGAATTTTGGTCTTATAACATGCAACATGTGACTTCAGCTATCTTTTGAAAGAGACTGTCACTATAATATATATAATATAATATAATAAGATTCGCAATTTAATCTTACATTTGTACGTGTAATTCACCATTGAACAACATTCGCTCCATATGAAGTGTAGTACACTTGATTGATCTAATACAAAACGGTTAACATGTACGCATAGTGTCAAAGTCGTTTGTGTTTAGTTTAAATTATAAGTATAGGTATAAGTCTAGAGGCAATGAGCCTTCCAAATTTGAACAAATATGAATTCATACTGAATTTTACTAATTGAAATAGACGCCATTAGAATTTAAATATCCTCGTCAACACGATACAACTTCTCGAATCCTTTAAAAAGATATGGTTCTGATTTTTTCCACACTGGCAAGCCTCTTTGTCGCTATTTTTCATCGAACCTGGTATTTGAAACAGTGAAAGGTGATCGAACAAGCGGTAGTTTGTTCAGTAAGATAGAACGGTCCCTACGTTTTCTTGATATTTCTTTTTTGGAAATTGGGGCTTTAAGCAGATTTAAGGTTACAAGAACGTTATAGATAAATCCTTCAAAAAAATGTCGAAATTTTGTCGAAAAGTAAGCGTTGAGCTTTATTTGCTTCGACTACTTTATACTTTTTTCGAGATTGATAGTCAGTCTGGTGGTATATCGGCTGATGCAGAGTTACGTGTTCGATCAGACATCTGGGTAGCCGGTGATGCAGCTTCTTTTTATGACAAAACTCTTGGCCGACGTCGAATTGAGCACTGGGATAATGCACAGGTTTTTACAAAACGTCATTATCCGAATTCGAATAACTTCTTTTTTCTTTAGATAAGTGGACGGTTAGCGGGTGAGAATATGACAGGAGCAGGAAAGGCGTTTTGGTAAGATATTTAACCAAATTCTTTTTATACGTTGCTATGCCCTGTTAAGTACAACGACCGCAACAAAGGAAACCATGTTAGCAGTTCGCTTTTGTTGGCATATTAACTGAAAATGTATACAATTTAATCCAACGAATGTTGAAAATTCCATTAATAGTTCAGAATCTCGTCATGGGCATTGAATCTCAACAATTTTCGTTCAGGTATCAACCGGCTTTCTTCTCAAAGATAGCTCCTCAGTGGCAAATTAATGCTGTTGGAATTACAGATTCATCTTTACCTACCGTTTCAGTCTTTGCAAAGGACGTACGGTTTTACTCATTCACAGCAATCTTACGGTTTTTTGTGCGCAGTATAATTTCCGCAAAATGTTCCAGAATAATTTCGATGAGTGCTGTCAGCGCGGAGTAGTATTCTACAAAGGCGATCAAGGGAAGGTTAGATGCATTTTACTACACTTTGAAGTTTTAAACTTTGGTATAAAAGTAGGTCTTTTGCTCAAATCGGTAGTGAAGAGTCGTAAATCTTTTGTGAGGAATTAACCCTTTTATGCTGTATACAAGTTGCTAAAAGTGTTGTTTAAGCTATAAACAGAAGAATTGAATGTATTTTATATATATATATGCAAATATATACATACGAGTTTTTTTGACATTTGTGATCTTATTGCTCGTTGGGTATGGGTATATCTGGGAATTTTTCCGAATTTTATCCTTTTTATACAGCGACTTATTAAGTACACTGCCTGCTTGTAGTATGGCTTTCGTTGGCTATTATTGTATTCAAGTGTCATTCTTTTCGCTTGCTAAGCTTCGTCAAAAGACTCCTTTGACTAAAAGAACGTGAAAAGCCTACTACTCTTTTTCAGGTTTAACGTTAGAAAAAAAGAAGTCTGCAAAAGACGTAACCATCATATCGACTGGCTTTTCTTTTCTAATGCTAAGAATCTTTTCCTTTATAAATCCTTTCTAATAATTTTCTTTATACTGCGTATTTTCTTCGATGCTCTTGATCAAACAAATTCCGGCTTGCGATGCCGATGTCTTTCACTGTTCCTTACTTCCACTTCTTATGAAAATTGTTGAACTTCGAGTCCTATCATTTGCGGACTCAAGATGAACAGCTCCAAATATTACCGCGATTGCGGAGCACGTGATAATAGATGTTGTCATGGTTCGCAATTTGTGAAATTTCGTCACTTTCACAGATGCTTTTGCTTTTTGCTAACAACTTTGTTACAACTGGATTTCTATGATATTTTTTAGTCTTTTTTCTGGAACAATTTGCAAAATATTACCATAGTCAGTTGGTTTTGACTGGTTTACACCTCCCTTCTCTGCAGCTCTTTGTTGACTCACCACTTTATAGGTGAGCTTAGAAACGTGTCCTGTAGGAATGTTCGTCATTTTGATTGTAAAGGATATTTTCAGTATTATGTGGAATAAGGGAAACATATTCATTATAAATAATGTTGAAGACGAAAGCTTGGCATGAGTCTGCATCTGAGATACTGTAGTTCAAGAATCATGACCAATCATAAGGTAGTTTCTTTCGTTTCATTCCTCCAAGTTCCTTCTCAAAGAGCATGGTACTGGCCTCAAGAAAACTACGATGTGGTCACAGATATAGTATTAAATGAAAAAAGGAAGAAAACAGCGTAGTTGAGATAAAACCTTGCAGTAACTGCCACGACCGACTTTCTATTAACCTCGGCATTGATCAAGTAATTTTCTTCGTATTTTTGTTGAGCAAATGCGAGGTGTTATTATTCTTTGTTCACGATTAAGCTGACGTTTCGGCGGATTTCGCCTTCCTCAGAGCCTGGAAAGGTCAAGTTGATAACCTTTAATAGCCTATCAACTTGACCTTTCCAGGCTCTGAGGAAGGCAAAATCTGCCGAAATGTCAGCTTAATCGTGAACAAAGAATAATAACACCTCGCATTTGCTCAACAAAAATACGAATAAAACCTTGCATAATGCCGGCGCGCAAATTTGCGTGTTTGTCGCTTGAAACGACCATCAATCTCATTTCTATTACGGACTTTTTGGTATTTAGACTCTATCGCTGTAACCAGTGCATGGTATGTATGCTACTATTTGCTATGTACTTTTATCCTCCACCTATCAAGCACACTACCTTCAACATTTATATGTTTCGCAATTTATGTTGTATATATTTCGGCATGTTTTATACGGCCCCACTTCGTACGAAAACTGTGAGTCATCACAGCGCTTGGTATAAAGCAGAGTAGTCAAATTATTGATAATTAAACTCATCTAGACAAGGGGTTTTGTTTTGTAAGTTGTTAGATGTTGTCAAACATCTTTTTCTGGAGAATGTATTGGTTAAGTATTAGGAGTGTGGTAAAATAGCTATATGTGGTAAATGAAGCGACAAAGAAGCAAATGTGCTGGATACAATGCTTGTCGTCCATTTTGCACACCAACCTACACTCATGTTTAGCCAGTAGCGTATCGCGGGGTTAGGTTTTAACCCATTGATCACGACGCCTAGTGTTGGGCCTTTACGGACTTTCAGGTTTTTTTGGTAGTGAGGAATAATTTTTTAATAACCAGACAGCTTTTGGAGTTCTGAAAATTATATGGTTGTAGATGAGACTTTTCTCTATTGTTGTAAATGTAATATATGTTACAATTTACTAGGCTTTATGCATCGTGTAATGTCAACATTTGGATGTTTTGTGGCGTATGTTGAGTCCATTTCAGTATTTTCTACCCACGCATTCAATAAATAGCTATAATTCTTCATGGCGACTAAAATGAAGTTGTAGTTAATTCCTTGTCAAATTACCGGTCAATGACCTTGTCGGCAAAAAGGTGTTTTGTAAGGGAACTTTCCTGGCGTCACACCTACATTGGTCTCTTTATGATTAGCTATCAATTGATTTGTCCACCGTAACGTGTGTACTCTACAGTGTGTATACCGTCCGTTATGGATTAACATAGTGACGACCTCAGTGCGTCACAAGTGTGTGGTATCACCTATCGCACTGCTAATCGATCGCTGAGTGACTCGAGCAGACACCAGTAAATCTTCCGTTTATCCCTGTAGCGTGCAAGACTAGCCTAGTGGGTTCTGCTCGCTTTAGGGACTCGCTGAACATCATATCCTTCTTCTAGGGTTTTCGTAACGAACTCTGACTATCGGGTCGATGTTCGTCCTGCAATACGTTTGACATTCCGAGAAATCCAGTCACTAACGGCTCTTGTGCATCAGTTGTCGATCATACATGTTAGTTTCCACGCTCAACTTATTGAAAGCTTTCCAAGTAACTTGCTTTCTCCTACTTAACTCTGGTGCTAAGTTGTTAATCGATTGATTTCCCGACGTATGTGGACGTAGCTGGAGCATTTGGAGATATTCTTGCCGTTGAGCGTTAATGGGGCATACGAAACAAATCCGCTCCACATGAACATCCTTTTTGTGATCTTTAGTCGAAGGACATTCTCTCCACAGACTTTCGTGAAGTCGGCAAACATTAGTTCCGCCTAGCTAATGTTTGGTGTTATAAGAACAATATCGTCATTAAGATGAAGATGGTGTAATTGCCGACCATCGTTTTTCACTCCCATGTTGTTCCGTTCCAACGTTCCCATGGCGTTCTGGAAGGTGACGGTAAATAATTTTGGCGAGATGGTATCGTCTTCCCTAACACCTGTTTTGACGTCAATGTTAATATCGTTGTAGAATGGTGATATCTTGGTTGTAAAATTTTTTGTACAGCTCATGAAGAATCTTCATACGCTGAGTAGAGATTCCCTGAATGTCCAGTGCTTCCATGACTACTTCTGTCTCAGCTGAGTTCAAAGTCTTCCTTAAATCGAAGAGAGTGGGACAGAGCGATCTGTTGTACTCTCTCTCTCTCTCTCTCTCTCTCGATACTTTAGTAAGTCTTCTTATCGTGTGATGTAGTCTTTCATCGTACCGAAACGTTTTCAAGATCATATTTGCTCATATGGATATCCTTCGTCCAGTAGCCTGTCAGTACCGTTTAGGATAACTCGAGTGGAAAGTTTGTAGACGACAGATAGCAAGAAGATTGGGCAATAGTTGGCGATGTCGTGGAGATCACGCTACTTAAACAATAACAGGATCTTACTGGGCTTCCATTCAATAGGATCCTTGTATTTCGATAGGTAACGCTTGAAGAGCTGGGACAGTATGTTTATGAAGACTTATGGGATGTTCTTCAGGTGTCCAGGTCCTATCCTATCCTGATCTGGTGTTTTTCGACTCTTCGCCGGGCAAATAGCATGTCGGATTTCGGAAGAGAGAAGCTGTGGTGCGACATATTCATCCTTTATTTCGTAGGAGGTCAGGAGAATGTGGCTACTGAAGAGATTCGAGCAATAATCGTCTGTGATTTTCTCTGCTGCCTTTGTGGAAGATCTAGCTATTCCGTTTGGGCGTCGGAGTGCAATTATATTGGTTTTTTAATTGTAGAAGCTTCAGTGAGCTCGCAAATACATTTTCCAGCTTTTGAAACTTTGGTTATAACTGCTGCTTTTCTCACTTTGAGATCTTCCTTTATTGTTTGTACTCATTGTATTGCAAGTAACGGCATATTCCTAACAACCGTTATGGTGGTTCTGCGATTTCGTAGCGCTTTTTTATCCTTTCCGCAAGAAATGAAATCTTGTACGAAGGACGCTGTGTTCGGATTACGTGTAGAATTTGTATACAACAGCTAAATGAGTTAGGTACAACGTTCGATGTTGTCTATCTCGCCATGGTGCTTTTAGTTTTAGGGGTGGGATAGCGCAGTGGTAGTGATGTACATCATCACGAGCATACTTCTAGTTCGATTCCGCTCGGATCAACTAAGCCTCATCACTTCTGAATCAAGAAATTGGTACCGGACTTGTCTGGGAAGAAAATCAATCTGTAATCCAATTGGGAACGCTCCAATCCGGCTATCTCAGGACTCCAGGGAGAGTTGTTCGACCAGCATTCTACGACATTTAAGATGAAATGGAAATTTTCAAGCAGCAACCGAAGCCTCACGCAAAGTTGGAAGATTTTCGTGGATTATGGATGAATGGAAACGAATCGCATGTGAGAATTGGATCTGCACAGTAGACGTGAAGACGGGTCAAAATGAAAAAAAAACTCACCGTTTGGGAACTCCCACCGGGTTGACAAGTGAGGCTTCTGGAATTGCGAGTTACTACGAATGGTCTTGGTCGTTATGATAAACTCAGACAGCCACACACCCTATTTATTCCGTTCGAAGTCGTCCCACTCGTAACGTCACGACTCTGAGGAAGGCGAAATCGTCGAAACAAACATTAACCAACAACAACAACGGCAACTTATACCAACCTTGTATCAGCTGGACGGGGTGGATTCATAATATAGGAGGACAGTTATATATGTTAAAATAAGCCA